GAACAAAACTCAAATGGGTCAGGTGGTGAAACGTTACATGCTAAGTGTCAGACTGGTTCAGCTGGGCTTTGTGAAATGGAAGTGGACACTGAGCAGAAACCAGACAGTGTCCCTGTGAAAGCCTCAGCACCCGAACCGGCGTCACCATTGCCTCCTGTCCCATCACCAACCATAACGGCCTCGACTCCTATCACTTTGGCTGAAAACGAGTCACTGGACATTGATGAAGACGAAGGCATCCACAGCCATGATGGAAGTGACCTGAGTGATAATATGTCCGAGGGAAGTGATGATTCTGGGCTGCATGGGGCTCGGCCAGTGCCACAAGAAGCAAGTTCAAAAAGTGGGAAGGAGGGGTTGGCAGTTAAAATAACCGAGGGAGAGTTTGTTTGTATTTTTCTGTGATCGGTCTTTCAGAAAGGAAAAGGATTACAGCAAGCACCTCAAATGCCAAAAAAAAAAAAAAAGAAAAGAAAAAGAAAAAGAAGGTCACCAGCTCTCCTAAAACTGGAGTTCTAGGCAATTGTGAGCACCCAATGTGGGTGCTGGGAACTGAACTCAGGTCTTCTGTAAGAACAGAAAGCACTCTTAAGTCACTGAGTCCATCTCTCTAGTCCTCCTAAAATGTGAAACCTTTTTTTTTTTTTTTTTTTTTTTTGGTTTTTCGAGACAGGGTTTCTCTGTGTAGCTTTGTGCCTTTTCCTGGAACTCACTTGGTAGTCCAGGCTGGCCTCGAACTCACAGAGATCCACCTGGCTCTGCCTCCCCAGTGCTGGGATTAAAGGCGTGAGCCACCACCGCCCGGCTTGAAACTTTTAACTGATTGATTTTGGCAATGCTATGGGTTGAACTTGGGGCCTTCAGGTTAGGGACATGCTGCTCCCCTTTTTCTTTTCTTTTCTTTTCTTTCTTTTTTTTTTTTTTGAGACAGTGCTTCACTGTGTAACATCCCTGGCTGTCCTGGAACTGGCTTTGTAGACCAGGTTGGCCAAGAACTCATAGAGATCCTCCTACCTCTACCTCCCGAGAGCTGAGATTAAAGTTGTGCCCCACCAGGCCCATATCTGGCATGCCAATTTTTAAAACAATGAAGATGGCAGTGTAGGCTAAACATATGCATGGGAGGATCATACTCACGTGACCTCTACATGCTATACTGTATGGTAAGTGCTGGGTCCTTCAAGGTCTTTGGCTTGCTGTTATATTGGTGAATTCCAAAGAACTAATCTTTCAAGATCCACAGAACTTCCCATACTCACTATGGACATATGACTTAATTTGGTTAATCGAGCAATCAGAGTTTCATAAACATTTGTTGATTGGTCTTGTCCTTTTTCTTTCTTTCTTTTTTTTTTTTTTTTTCGAGACAGGGTTTCTCTGTGTAGCTTTGCTCCTTTCCTGGAACTCACTTTGTAGACCAGGCTGGCCTTGAACTCAGAGATCTGCCTGCCTCTGCCTCCCGAGTGCTGGGATTAAAGGTGTGTGCCACCACCGCCCGGCGGTCGGTCTTGTCCTTTTTCGAGCCACCCTCCAGAGGCTTGAATGATAAGAAGCCAGTGGAAAAGAGAGGCTCCAGAGGATGAGAAATCATTTTGAATGTGTTTCCAACTGATTACAGGCCCATGTGTAACCTCAGCTTATATCACATTGATCCAGATGAACTTGGCTAAACTATGCAATCGTAAAAAATAAACCATTGTTATTCTAGGCTACCAAGTCTTGGCACAGTTTGTTATGTTACAATAGGTAACTGAAACAGAGGTCATTTAACCTGTCCTCCTGTCTGGTGAAATCCAGACAGCAAGGTAATAGCAGGAACTCTAATCCTGGGCTTTTCTCGGTTGCTTTTCTTTCAATCTCTTGGTGAAAGCCACTAGATAAAGATCATAAAATTTCAAACTCTAATGGTAGGGAATTTATACCGTGCTTTGGATGTATACTGATCTCTGGAAATGGGAAGAGTTCGAAAGTCATCCACTGCACTGGGGCAGAGAATTGAAAAACATCTGAGAAACGGGAAAGCAGTCTCTGCCATTGAGAAATGGGCTGGCTACAATCATCCAGGCCCTTGATGATAGCCAGAGCCTGGCCCTTACAGTTAGGTCTCCTGTAAAACATAAACAACTTCACAGACCACCAACATTACATAAGGATATTCTGTGGCCTTATCTTATGGATCAAGACAAAAACAAGACCACTCACTCCATAATTATTTGTGAACACAGATAAAACATGACCATTATCCAAGCCACACATACAGCTACAAAGACTAAACACTTGAATCTGGCTAACATGAGGGAGTGTCACCAACTACTACTTAGCTTCAATCTAACTTCCCCCAGATAAGACTGCGATGTCCAGTCTTAGAATTACTCCCACTTCGCTCCAGGGCCTCTTCAAATCCTCTTCTACATTACCTAAGGTCTCCTACTGAGACGTCCACGATTCATCATGACATATGTTCTCTTGTGCTTCAGGTAGAAATAAACCCACCTTGTTCAACTATCAGCGTGTTCCTGGAGGATTTTGGTTCCAGGGTACTGACAGACTTGGGGAAGATCACAGAGTTAGAGGCAGAGTTCCCTGGAAGTCTCCAGTTGTGTTCTTTCATAGCCCCTCTAACTCTCGGTTAATGTCTGCTGTCTTTCCATTAGAATTAAGCTTCCTGAGAACAGGGGTCTCTCCTGTTACGTTCCAAGTTGATTCCCAGTGCTTAGGGCAGTAGAAACTGAATGTTTACAAATAAATGTTTTCAGAACGAACAGCTTCCTTCTCCCGGCTCAGCTCCTCTCAGTCAGTGTAGCGGATCTTCATACACCTATTTCCCCACTCATCTCCAAACACTTCCTCTAGAGATGTCCATCTTCCCTTGGCTGCGTCCTCGGGCTCTCGGGCCCTCTCCTACACTTCCTAGTGCACCTTGGGCCCACCTGTCCCTACCAAATGCAACACACACGGAGCGGCGGAGCAGCCACCTACGCGAGTGCCACTGCAGACACCCAGGGCGCATGTGCGGAAATCGGTCGCACCGCAAAGATCTCAGACTTAAGTAAGGAGTTGCTTTCGAGTTTCCGTCCGGGTCCGGGCAGCCCCAAGCTGCCAGGAAGTCAGGAACGACCAGCCGGAAGGAGACCTTGCGCGCGGGGATTTCTGGGACAAGTAGTCGCGGCACTCACGAGGCCCTACCCTGAGCAAGCCCTAGATTCTCCAGGTCTGCACGTCCCGCACTCCCAGCCCTGTGCTCCTCGAAGCGCAGCCTTTACAGTGGCGAGCCCCGGCAGAGTGGGCCGGACGGCTTCTTGCTCCCACAAGGCCGCGCGTGCCGCAGTGGTTGTCGGGAGTTGTAGTCAGCTGCGCGTCCTGCGTCCGCCGAGTGGGAGGGCGGAGCTGCCGGCGGCCCGGGCGGGCTGGCAGCTAGAGTGGGTGCGAGAGCCGCCTCCACCGCCGCCGCTGCCACCGCCTCCTCCGCCCGGGCCGTTCGCTGCTGAGCGGGGAGAGCGAGGCGGGGCCGCCGGGGCCGCCATGGAGCCCGACTCGGTGATTGAGGACAAGACCATCGAGCTCATGGTGAGTGCGGCCCGCTGGCCCTCCGTTCTTCCGGCCGACTGGCGATCCGGGGGCCTGCCCACCTCGGCGTCCGCGCCAGGCCAGCCCTCGTTCCCTGCCGCCCGGGCCCGGCCGGCCCCCTGCCGTGGCTCGTTGCTGACGCCTCGCGCTCCCAGGCTGTCCGGGCCTCCGCTCCCCCCAACCCCCTCCACCGCCTGCCGGGCTCCGACCGGTCTCGGGCGCCCCTGCCTCGCTCCTCCGTGAGCCTCCGCTCACTCTCGCCTTGCCATCGCACTCGTTTTAGAAGATTTCTTTTCCCTTCCCATTCCTCCAGGCAGGCCCGCATCGCGCTTCCCACCCGCGCTTAAGCCAAGGGTGATGGTGGTGGGAGGGAGTCCGAGACCAGTTGGGGCCGCTTCGGCCTCCGTAACCTAGGCGTACGGGGGGTGGTGTTAGGGGGGCTCTCAGCACCTTCTCCCCAAGCTACGGCTGTGTGGATGCCGGGATAGGCCCCGTAGGGCTGGGATGTTGGGGGTGCCCTCGAGTCTGAGGCTTGCGGGATATGAAGCCTCTTTTCTGGGCCCCTGTGGTGTCAGGCTTCTTGGACAAAGGGTTTCCTACCCTGCCGTGAAGGATGTTTGTATAGCAAGGCCCCAGGTACTCTAAATTCCATCCTCCAGGAAAGGGAAACCATAACTTTATCATTTGGGAAATGAGAGGGGAGGGGGAAGGGGTCTTCCTCATCACCGCCCCCCCACCCCCGCTCTTAAAAAGAAAAAAAAAAGGGGGCATTCTTGGCCCACAGAGAAGCAACGATCCCTTTTACTGTTAGAAACCATTGGTAGCCAGACTGATGAGGTCTCCCCGGACCCCCCTAACCCCTTTCTGACCTCAGACTTGGTGCCAGAAGGGTTTTTGGAAACAGGACTATGAGTGAGTGGCTGGGAGAAGTGAAGAATTTGCTCATTGGTGGAAGAAATAAAATATGGCTGGTATTACCTGCCAATTTGAATGTGAGGGAAATCAGACCAGGCTTGGGAGAGTTGGGAGGCAGTCAGCCTCTGCAAATGGCCATACAAAGGAAACCGTTGATAGTTTCTTTGTATCTCCGCTAATACAGTAACAACTAGTATCTGTCCCATGGTAGCGAGGAAAGCTACAAGATCTACTGAACTTTGCAAAACGTTTTCCTAGTCAGATTCTTTCCAGTGTGAAAATGCTTATTGAGTCACTGATTCCACTGGGTAGGGTTGGTGACATCAGAGCCACTTCCCCCATTTAATGCTATAAATAATAAATGGTGATACTGAAAGTCTGTTGGATAGCCTCATGGTTTCTGTGGATGATGTTATCCAGGGAGTTGAGGTGTACGTTTTAAAATGGAAGTATAGTAGCATAAAATAAATACCGAGGTAGTCTCATGTCTGCTGGACTTGTTGAAAATTAGCGGGTGTGTGTGTGGGGACCTCTGGTAGTTCTTGGTGTGTGTGTGTGTGTGTGTGTGTGTGTGTGTGTGTGTGTGTGTTCAGAGGGATTCTGTCACTTGTGGGATTTTGATTTTTAGGTATTGAGGAATTTTTCCTTTTCAGCATCAAATGGTTGGTTACAGCAGTTTGGGCAAACTTTTGAAGTGGGTTATTTTAGCAAAATATCATTTAAAAATGGTTGTTTATGTATTATTGTGAATGGATACATGCACCACCACAATGGCATTTGGTGGTTAGAGGACAACTTGTAGAATCACTTCTGTCCTGCCTTTACGTGAGTACTGGGAATTGAACTCGTGTTGGCAGGCTTGTATGTTCAAATGCCTTTGGCTGAGCCCTCTTGCTGACCTCTATTTTGGCAAAGTATTTTCAGACATATTCCATCTTCTTAAAGATAAACAGTACATCTGCTTTCAGAGTGACCAGTGCTTCATACTGAAACACATTCACTTAAAACAACCAAAACACCTCTTCTTCAAAAGATTATAAGAAATACAGTGTAACCCAAGGCATGGTCTGTTAGTATGTGACTAAAGAAAGACTCTGTCCCACATTTACTTGCTTTCTATGCATATAACTAAAAAGTTTTGTTTTGGATGCTGGGGTGCACCTCAGTGGTAGAGCACAGGCTTAGTTAGAACCATGAAGCCATGATGAGGGGCTTAGACTTTGTGTGATAATATGTGCTGTTACGCCCGAAGAGATGTCAACCCACCATTTAATAAAAGGCGTAGTAGTCATGATCAATTTTAAAATGGTTTTAAGGATTTTTCCCTCCTAGGTGGGGTCTCTTAGGAGCCTTGGGCAGTCTTTTCCGTGAGTGGTAGGTGTGTGTTTCAGTGCAGTAGATGGCTCACGTGCTTAGCCACTGAAGAGGCCCAGCGTCGGTGGACAGATCAGAAGGCCTTTCAAATCCAGCCTCACCTGGCTTTCTGTATCACTACATTTCAATTATAGTTTCCAGAAATTGGTTGAAAATACATGTAATAATGACTTCAAAATAACATGATTGAAAGAGGAGAACTGGTTAAATTGATCGTATTTTGGAAGCCTAGAGCATAAAATGTTTCAAATTTTTGTGAGTCCTCTTCTGGACTCAGATATTTGTGATTTTGGTGCCTCTGTGAGTTTGGTACCTAATGGTTGACAAGATATGGCTTGTGCTATTTTAGATTGCACTGCATTAAAAAGAGGAAACTGGCTTTGTGTCATCTTCAGTTCTTAATTGTCAACCTTCTACTTTGATTTTGATGCAACTTTTTCTCTTGTAATTGGTAAGACTCATGGCAGTCTTGTTGGCAGCCTCTTGGGTGCTGGGGTTACAGGTGTGAGCCACTATATACCTTTTTCTGTTTCTTTTTACAGTGCTTGAGCTCAAAGCCAAGCTTGGCTCATGCTAGGCAACTGCATTAAACTACCTCCCCCTAGTCCTTTTTTTGTACTTATTATTATTATTATTATTATTATTTTCGAGACAGGGTTTCTCTGTGTAGCTTTGCGCCTTTCCTAGATCTCACTCTGTAGCCCAGGCTGGCCTCGAACTCACAGAGATCCACCTGGCTCTGCCTCCCGAGTGCTGGGATTAAAGGCGTGCGCCACCACCACCACCACCACCGCCCGGCTCTCTTTTCTCTCTTATCTGCCTGCCCCCTCTCTTTCTTAACACACACTCCCTTTACTGACTCCTTGCCCTCTCCTAGGGTCTCTTGTAGCTCAGGCTGGCCTGGGACTTTGTGGCTGCCCTTGAACTCCCAATTCTGTTGCTTTTGCTTTCCATGTGCTGTGATTATGGGTCTGTGCCACCATCCTCGGCAAGGTGATAAATAAACTCTTGATAGAGACAATGAATTTATAGTTGCTGATAGTGAATAATTTAATTACCATGTGGCTTTCATGGCTTTATACTGGCCTAGTGTTGGGTCAGCTTTATGGACCTGTTTTCTAAACTTCTTTGTAACAGTCATCTTTATTATAAGTGAGTTAGAACAGCAGTGATCCATTTTGGAAATAGAATTCACCAGGCTGTGTGTCTGGTTTACAGATTTCACTGGAGAGAGTGCAAACTTCATTATGCATCACATTCAGTTGGGAGCATGAGTTGATGTACAGGCACTCCTTAGGAAGCACTCATAAGAGCTTGACAGAGAGATGGCTAGTTTTTCTCCCATGAAAAGATAGCAAAATTCGGCTAACGGTTGTAGGACACAAACCAGTGGGTAAAGGTGCCAGCCACCAAGCCTGACTACCTAAATGTCATTCCCTAGGACTTATAGAAGAAGGAGAGAACAAACCCCCGGAAAACACCCTCCCACACCAACTTACATAAATAAATGTAATTTTAAAGAAGTTTAAGGATTGCTGGGTGGTGGTGGCCTACACCTTTAATCCCAGCATAGGGAAGTAGATCTCTGGGGAGTTCAAGGCCAGAGTGAGTTCCAGGACAGATGGGCTACATAGAGAAACCTTGCCTCACATAGAGAAACAAAAAACAAAAACAAGTTTAAGGATGATAGTTTTGTTTTGTTGTTGTTGCTTTGTTTTTTCTGTAGAACAGGCTGGCCTTGAACTCACAGAGATCCACCTGGCTCTGCCTTGTGATTTCTGGGATTAAAGGCGTGTGCCACCACCGCCCGGCTTTTGTTTGTTTTTGAGACAGGATTTCTCTGTGGATAGTTTTGTTATGTTGTTGTTGTTCCTTTTTTTGTTTGTTTTTGAGATAGGGTTTCTCAGGGTAGCCCTGGCTGTCCTAGAACTCTCTTTGTAGCCCAGGCTGGTCTTGAACTCAGAGATCCACCTGCCTCTGCCTCCGAGTGCTGGGACTAAAAAGGCATGTGCCACCACCACTTGGCTAGGATGATAGTTCTGTCTCATGGGTGTGAACAAAACAAAACTTGCCTAGTTACACTTCTACTGAGTTATTAGCTGTTGAAAGATTCCCCTCTGCTAAGAGACCTTAATTGAGTCATTTCCTTTTGTTTTTAATCTCTTAAGTGGACGAAGTAATGCAGACTAGAACATAGTGGTCCTTCTTAAGAAGGTGCAGTATAGCGCTATCTTTAGAGTTATTAAAGTATAGGCAGTCTGCAAAACTGGAGATGAAAGAAACTGATAAGGTAAATTATTTGTTTTTCTCTGTTTTCTTTTTGATTCAGTTGTTTTGTTTTTCCTCCCTTCCTGTCCTTGACTTAGTGAGGCAAATTCAATTGTTTAGTGAATCTATCAAGAAATAGGATGTCTGCAGCTGTCCCTCATAGCTCTCTGGTGGCTGCTAACTCACCAAATGTGCATAAATAGACGCCGGTTTCAGCAGGGCCCAAGTGATATCAACCACATGAGTTTATAGGATCTTTGACCTGTCTAAAGGGGCCGTGGCTCTAATATACAATCTGTCTGAGGATTTGCAGTAGGCTAAATGTCCTTCAGATTTGACAGGGGTGGCCCTGACTGCTGTAGCCTGTCCTTTACTAAGTAGAGAGCTAGCCCAGGATACTCACTAACTAGGCCATTGACACAGATTCCTAGACCCGCACACAT